CTAGGCCCACGCTCAAACAAGGTGCAGTTCCTGAGGAGCTCAGCTGGGGGAGCCCTTGAGGGCTCACTAGAGAAGAGCCTGGAGCAGTGGCGGTTCCTGGGGAGTTTGAACAACACAAACCAGAATGATGGCTGGGGGAGAATTAGGCAGCCCTGCTCTTGCCTGGCTCTCCAGGCTCCCTCGATAGGGATGGCCCAGGCCCCATACGTTAGAAGGAGCACAGACGGAGGGTCAGGGACTCTGGGCCCTCCTCCTGGCTAACCCCTAACCTGCAGGGTGATACCAAGAAAGGGCAGTTCTCCCTTGCTGTGGGAAGAGCACGGATTTCAGAGTCAGGTGTCTGGGTTGAGTCCTACCTCTGTCATTTCTAGCTATGTGACCTTGTGCCAGTCACTTCACTTCTCTGAGACTGAATTTTCTCATTTGTGAAACACGGACAATATTAACAACAGAATCTTTTTTTTTTAAACTATAATTTATGGAGCACCTACTATATGCTGGTCACTGAAAGAAAGGTACTTTATATACATAAACACATTTAGTTCTGATAACCAGTCTGTGAAGCTGATATTTTTATCCTCATTTTATGGGTAAAGAAACAGGGTTCAGAGAAGTGATATTTTTTAAATGTAAATAACAGCTAACACTTATGTAGTGCTTACTATGCATGAGACACTGTTCTAAGAACTTTACTCACTATTTAACTATTAACAACTCTATGAGGTAGGTATATTATTATTATTTTCGTTTTATACATGAGGAAACTGAGGCACAGAGATTAAATAATTAGCCTGAGATTACACAGCTGATGAATCAGGGAGCCAGGATTTGAAGGCAGGTAGCCCAGCTCTTAATCATTAAGTTACAAATCAGACAACTCTCCTGCTTCAAACCCTCCATTGGGTTTCCCACTGCCCTAAAAATGAAATCCAGCTTCCTTTCTCTGGCTTGCAAGGCCATACTCCATGTGGTCCTGGCATGATCTGACCTCATCTCCTTTCACTCTTCCCCTTACTCGCTCTGCTTCAGCTGCACCAACTTCTCATGGCTCCCCAGATGTGCCAAGCACATTCCTGTCTCAGGAGCTTTGCATTTGCTGTTTCCTCCACCTGAAATGATCATCCTCCAGACCTTTGTATGGTTCCTTCCCTCACTACATCTGGCTCTCTGCTCAAACGTCACCCCGTTAAAGAGACATTCCTATCTAAAATAGACATCCCTTTGACCCTGCTTAATTTTTCTTCACAGCACTTAGAATTCTCTGAAATTATGCATTTGTTTGCTTGTTTGTCTGTCTCTTCCACTGAAATGTGAGCACAGACTTGGTGCTCTTGTCCACTGCTAGATATCCAGTGCTCAGGCCCAAGACCTACCACATGTCAGGCACCCAATATATAGTTGCTGGATAATTAAGTACATAAATGAAGGAATACCCAAGGTCACCCAACTGGTTAGTGGCAGAGCCAGGATGAACCAAGTTGTCTGATCCTGGAGCCTCTGCTGTGAGCCACTGTGCTGTGCTGGACTGACTCCGAGAGATCTCGGGAGGTTCAGATAGCATAACAGTCCTGAAACCACTTTGAAAATTGCTAAGTCCTTGAAAAAAAGCAAAGGATTATTATTATTATTCAGTTCACTCTTTGCTTATCTATGAAATGGAGATAATACTACTCTGGCCTGCCGACTTGATGAGGACATTTTGTGGCGTGCCAATGAGATAATTGACAGGGAAACATGTATAAGAGTTAGAGGGTCTACATGGTAGAAGGGACTGTAAAGATTATTCCCACGCCAGTGGCTTCCCAAGGCTCCCATCTTCCACCTCAAGTTTGACATTAATATTGCTGACAGGAGAGGAGGAGGTAGGGGGACATGTGAGACTGAGGGACTCTGCATCCCAGTAATTAAACATGTTGGGACTGAAGTGCTGCCAGCGGCAGCATCTGGTTGCAATTACCAGAGGGGACCGAAGTGATTAGTCACCTTTATAGTGAGAGCCAGGCTGGTCCCCTGGGCTCCTCCCTGGAGAGGGCCTTCTAAGCAAGCTCAGAATCCCCTTTCCCTGCTCCCACCCCATCTCTGGAGCTCCCTGGTCCTCAAACAATAGCCCCTGCTCTGAGACTCCTCCATGTCCCCAGGTCCCAGCCCATTGGATGAGACCTTGACTGAAAGCCAAGAATACTGTAATTGCCCCCACCACCCTTTCACTTCTTGTGTTTCTAGAAGCCAGGTTAGGATTCTTTTGTATAAATATGTCAAAGTAGGAATCAGGCTTAAAAAGTAATTTAACCTTTCTGAACTTTGATCTCTTCATCTGTAAAACGGGGGCACTAAGAGTACCTTCATCATAGGATTGTTGTGGAGATAAATATGATAAAAATGCCATGGGATACAAAGACCAGAGTCTAGTTTACTAGAGTAAGTGCTCGGTAAAGTGTAGCAATTATTATCTTCCAGGTGCTAGGCTAATCACTTTTTATGATTCATTTCATTGACTCCCCATAAAAACGCTGTGAGGTGGGTACTGTCATGATACGTGTTCAGAGTTTCAAAGAGGTTTAGAGGCTTCCAAAGATCACATAATGCACTAAGCCATATAGCAGAACCAGGATTCAAAACCAGCTCTGTCTCCAGAGTCCTGGCTCTTGATCAACCATGTGTAGGGGCATCTTGGTTGTTTGATTCATTCATCCCTTCATTTATTCACTCACTCAAGCTTACAAAGTGCCTAATAAGTGGCAAGATGGAATCCCCTGCCTTTAAGGAGCTCAGGGCCCAGCGGGGAAGGCATGATATGTCCACAAGTAACTACGCTTTTGAGTAGAAAATGATGGCTTTTGTATATAAGGGCCAGTTAGAGATTCATTCATCCATACAGCACATACTGAGAATCTGCTATGTGCTGGGCCCTGTGCCCAGCACTGGGAATAATTGAAAGATAAATATGGTACAGTCTAGTCATAATCTAATGGTGGAAACAGACATGTAAATAAATTATTACAGTTATAAGGAATTAAGTTATAGTTTTTAAAAATATGAAAAAAGTACACAGAGTGGAAGAAATGAACAGTGCTCGAGATGGGGCAGAAGCAGAACTGAATAATCTTTGAGCTGCCAAAGTGGAAAGGGGTACAGAAAATGATGGCAATTCAGGAGTGTGTATCTTCTGGTGGATGAGAGGAAGCTTCATGGAAGAGAGGGCGCATGTGTTGGCACTTTTCAATGGGTACGTTTGAGAGAGAGGGAGGGTTGGGACAGAGATCCTGGAGACCTGGAAGCCAGGTATAAGGGAATTATAGATGGACAGGCAGGGAGGAGGACTGAGACAGTGAGGCAGCGGGGATGGAGAGGAGGGAGGAATGCCAGAGAAGACTGTTAAAGTGGAACAGGTCAAAAGGGAAGCCAAGTGTTGTGAATCTGGGCAACTGGAGGGATAGCAATGAATTCAGCTCTTCCTTAAAGCTCCCCACAAAAGTGCCTGGTGGTGCATTGGTCCTTCGAGACGGGAGGTGGAGCTCTACTGAGTTTTCTGACCTAGGAGCCCTAGATGAAGCTTGAAATGGCCAAATTATGCTGTTGTGCTCTGAAGATCAGTGAGGATATGGGAGCATCACCACGAAAAGGCTAGTCAGGCACCTGGACACCCCAGCTGTGAGTTTCATCTTCTTTGATTCATCAAACACTTACTAAGCTCCTACTCTGTGCCAGGTTATGCTGGGAAACCTATCTGGTGAGTCCACCTGATCTAGAGTCCACCAGGTTTCGAGTACAAACAGATCTCTATTAGGTAGGCTCAAAGAATCTCAGCTTAAGAAGGAAGCCTACCTGACTACTGCTTCTACTGTGGCTGTACTTCTTACGGTGTGACAAGTGTTGTAATAAAATGTACAAGAAGGAGTAATTGGCTCTGTCTGGGGATCAGGGAAGGCTTCCAGGAGGAGGTGAATTTTCAGCTTAAGCTCTCAGGATGAGGAGGACTTCTGCAGTTGTGGGAGTAAAAGGAGGGTATTGCAGGTGAAGGAAATACCTTTCTCCCAGGAGTCCAGCTGGAATTCAGACTTCTTCCAGAGCTACCAGAAAAGCATCAGGTGGGAAATCATTTTTCCAGTTTCCTGCAGGGGCCGCTGCTGCCCCAAGCTGGGGCTGCCACCTCTGGACTCAGCCAGTGATTTCCAACAAAACTCTGAGTCTGTCTTTGCTGGGGTGGTGGTGAGGTAGACCCTGGACCTGCCTCCATTCAAGGAGCGGGCTCAGGGGTGGCAGTGCCCCCCGGAAGCCTGAAGAAATGATCTGAGCTCAGTCATGGCATCGGGAGGAGGAGGGTAGTGGGTACCGATATTCTTCTGTCTCTGGGTCACCGTAAGTTTATTAAAATAAAAGAAACTGTGGGTAAATGCTGCCATCTGTGCTGCCCACCCCCACCAACAACAAATCAGGCCCCAGACTAGATGCAGGTTGAAACTACTTTAAAAACACCCCAAGGACTTAACTGAAAACTCACACTCCCCATGCTTCGGGGGCTTAAGATCCTTGAGCTCATTCCTCAGCATCTCTCCTCAGGAAGGTGGGGTGGGCTGTCCTGTGAGGTGGAGGTGAAGACCCCTGAGTCGGCTCCACAGACTGAGAGGCCCCCTAAGCTCGGAGTCCCGCTGTGGGGCTCTGTGCCAAGAGCCCCCATGAGCCACGGCCTCGAAAGGGCAGCAGTGATTTTTTTCACATAAATATATCGCACTTAAATGAGTTTAGACAGCATGACATCAGAGAGTAATTAAATTGGTTTGGGTTGGAATTCCGTTTTCAATTCCTGAGTTCAGGTTTGTAAAAGATTTTTCTGAGCACCTGCAGGCGGGTGTGTGTGTGTGTGTGTGTGTGTGTGTGTGTAAGTATTTTCACTGGAAAGGATTCAAAACTTAAAAAAAAAAAAAAAAAACTGGAGCACACAGGCAGCATTACGCCATTCTTCCTTCTTGGAAAAATCCCTCAGCCTTATACAAGCCTCCTTCAAGCCCTCAGTCAGTTGTGCAGGAGAAAGGGGGCGGTCGGCTTTCTCCTTTCAAGAACGAGTTATTTTCAGCTGCTGACTGGAGACGGTGCACGTCTGGATACGAGAGCATTTCCACTATGGGACTGGATACAAACACACGCCCGGCAGACTTAAAGAGTCTCAGACTGAGGAGAAAGCCTTTCCTTCTGCTGCTACTGCTGCTGCTGCTGCTTTTGAGGGTCCACTCCTTTCATGGTTTTTTCTGCCAAACCAGAGGCACCTTCGCTGCTGCCGCCGTTCTCTTTGGTGTCATTCAGCGGCTGGCCAGAGGATGAGACTCCCCAAACTCCTCATTTTCTTGCTTTGGCACCTGGCTTGGCTGGACCTGGAATTCATCTGCACTGTGTGGGGTGCCCCTGACTTGGGCCAGAGACCCCAGGGGGCCAGGCCAGGATTGGCCAAAGCAGAAGCCAAGGAAAGGCCCCCTCTCGCCCGGAACATCTTCAGGCCAGGGGGTCACAGCTATGGTGGAGGGGCCACTAGTGCCAGGGCAAAGGGGGGCACCGGGCAGACAGGAGGCTTGACACAGCCCAAGAAGGATGAACCCAAAAAGCTGCCCTCCAGATTGGGTGGCTCTGAACCCAAGCCAGGACACCTTCCCCAGACAAGGCAGGCTGCAACGCGGACTGTGACCCCAAAAGGACAGCTTCCCGGGGGTAAGGCACCCCCAAAGGCAGGATCTGTCCCCAGCCCCTTCCTGCTGAAGAAGGCCAGAGAGCCTGGGCCCCTGCGAGAGCCCAAGGAGCCGTTCCGCCCGCCCCCCATCACGCCCCATGAGTACATGCTCTCGCTGTACAGGACGCTGTCCGATGCTGACAGAAAGGGAGGCAACAGCAGCGTGAAGTTGGAGGCTGGCCTGGCCAACACCATCACCAGCTTTATTGACAAAGGGCAAGGTGAGGGGGCGGGGTGGCAGGGGCACGGCTCAGAGGGAGGGGCATCTGCATGCATGGAGGGGCCTTTCAGAGCCCTGACACTGCACTGGTGGGAGATGTGTGTGCATCTGGCCTGGGGTGGTATCTGGGACGTATCTCATACATACCAGGTCCCAGGCTGCTGGCATGTTAGAGCTGGAGGGCACCTGGGAATCACCAAGTCCAATTCCTGCAAGTTGCAGAGGGGCTAACTGAAGCCTGGAGAGGAGACAAGACCAGCCAGTTGGTGGCAGAGCTGGGGACCAGACTCTAAGACTCTTGACTACCAGGCCATGTTCTGTTCCTATGTGAGTTGGCCAAACTTTCCAGGCTCCAGGGGTTTCTAGTTTTTCTCAGATGGCAGAGAGAGAAATGAATCTCTAGATACCCATGGTTCTGCAACTTTCTTTCAGGCTAGGGGGCAGAGGAGGCAGGATAGTTGAAGACAGTAAACAAGGCATCTTGGAGTCACGGAACGACATTTAGACACAGGGAGTAGGGGAGCAGACTTAGGATCTAACTCACAATGTGACCTTGGGAAAGTCTCTTCCCCCTTTGGGGGTCTCAGTTTTCTCATCTGTACAACTATATGGGGGTTAGACTGGGAGATTTCTGAGAGCCCATCAAATATGGAACCTTTATGTCCTGTCCTAAACACATATCATTTTTATCATTAACCCAGGAGAATATCTGCTCCCCTCACTTCTCCCTCTGTCTACCTAGCATTACTGTCTTGCCTTTTTCTCTCCACTTGCTGTGTGATCTTAGCAAGTCCCTTCCCCTCTCCTGGCCTCAGTTTCTCCATAGATGTGAAGAGGGAGGTGGATCACTGATTGCTAGGGTTGCGTGCAGCGTGTATGCTCTGGTTCTGAGTCTTAGGGCTTTAGCTGGCAGGGTGGGGGAAGGGTCAGAGAGTGGGAGAGGCTCCTCATTAGAGCTGGCCTGTGGGGGATGACAGAGGGCGGGGGAGGCACAGAGGCAGCAGGTCTGGCTGAGGTGGGGGAGGTGGCCTGGCTGCCTGCCCAGCTAGGGAACGCTGTGACCCCTTGGGGGCTCATAAAATAAGTCCCTGTGCACCCCCAGCACTAAGGGAGCCTGCAGAGGGGGAGACAGAGGGGGAGTTGGGGAGTTTAAAGGCCTAATTAGTCACTTTCTAGAGCAATATATGAATGCTTCCCAACGGCAAATTGGTATTTAGCAAGGAGGGCATGCTGATTCGGAGATACTACTGAGCTTCTTGTACACACACACAGCCATACATACATGCTGAATTACATACACACGTGCACACACACGCACACACCTTCTTATATATACATAGATTCTTCTTACATATATACACACGTATACATGTACATCCTTCAAATATTCACACAAGACCAATCATACATGCACGTAACATGTCACTCAAAAAGTACGTATTACATTTCATACTCACATATAAGCCCAATAATACACACATGCACACAGACTGTCACTCACACACACACTCTCACATACCCAGCAGGGTAAGACACATGCACAACAAAATCATTAGACTGGGAAGCCAGGGAAATTGGATTATAGACCAGCTTTGTCATTAACTTGCTGTGTGACCTTAGGAAAGTCAAGCCTCCTCTCTGTGCCTCATCTGTAAAACGAGAATACTAAGATCTTCTATAAGGTATCGTGGAAGCAGCTCAGGATTGGGTATAAAAAGCTCTAGGCTAGGGGCTGGCCCTGTGGCATAGTGGTTAAGTCCAGTGTGCTCCACTTCAGTGGCCTGGGGTTCGCAGGTTTGGATCCTGGGCGTGGACCTATACTACTCGTCAAGCCATGCTGTGGCGGTGACCCACACACAAAAAAAGAGGAAGATTGGCATAGATGTTAGCTCAGGGCCAATCTTCCTCGGCAAAAAAAAAGCTCTAGGCTGGAGTTCCAACTCTGCTTTATCCTAGCTGAGTGACTTTGAGCAAGTCACCTAACTTCTCTGAGCCTCAGGTTCCTCCTCTGGAAAAACAGGAGTAATTAGAATACCGACCCCACCTATCTCACCAATGAGATATCATGTTAGACAACAGATGGGAGAGGGACAGGTAGCAGGCAGTTCTAAGGCTAATGGGTCTCTGATAGGAGCATCACTGACACAAACACCTAGAATCACTCAAATCACCCACAGCCACATTTACAGATAAACAACCTTACTTGGTTGGCTGTGTAGGAAGCTCACTTGTTTTGAAAAAGGCTCGCTCTCAGTGGTTTGGGTCTTGGCATCTGTCAGAGTGGGGAAGAGGTTAGAGAAAGCTCTCTTGAAGGAGAGAGAGCTATGGCCCTTCCCTGAGGCCTCGAGATGACTGGCCCTCTTGGTGAAGTTGCAGGGAATGACTTCTGGGTGTTCTCTCTAGATGACCGAGGTCCTGTGGTCAGGAAGCAGAGGTACGTGTTTGACATTAGTGCCCTGGAGAAGGATGGGCTGCTAGGGGCTGAGCTGCGGATCTTGCGGAAGAAGCCCTCGGATACGGCCAAGCCAGGGGCCCCCAGCAGCGGGCGGACTGCCCAGCTGAAGCTGTCCAGCTGCCCCAGCGGCCGGCAGCCGGCAGCCTTGCTCGATGTGCGCTCCGTGCCAGGCCTGGATGGATCTGGCTGGGAGGTGTTCGACATCTGGAAGCTCTTCCGAAACTTTAAGAACTCGGCCCAGCTGTGCCTGGAGCTGGAGGCCTGGGAACGGGGCCGGGCCGTGGACCTCCGTGGCCTGGGCTTGGACCGGACTGCCCGGCAGGTCCACGAGAAGGCCCTGTTCCTGGTGTTTGGCCGCACCAAGAAACGGGACCTGTTCTTTAATGAGATTAAGGCCCGCTCTGGCCAGGATGATAAGACTGTGTATGAGTACCTGTTCAGCCAGCGGCGAAAACGGCGGGCCCCACTGGCCACGCGCCAGGGCAAGCGGCCCACCAAGAACCCCAAAGCCCGCTGCAGTCGGAAGGCACTGCATGTCAACTTCAAGGACATGGGCTGGGACGACTGGATCATCGCACCCCTTGAGTACGAGGCCTTCCATTGTGAGGGGCTTTGCGAGTTCCCCTTGCGTTCCCACCTGGAGCCCACGAACCATGCAGTTATCCAGACCCTGATGAACTCCATGGACCCCGAGTCCACGCCACCCACGTGCTGTGTGCCCACTCGGCTGAGTCCCATCAGCATCCTCTTCATTGACTCCGCCAACAACGTGGTCTATAAGCAGTATGAGGACATGGTTGTGGAGTCTTGTGGCTGCAGGTAGCAGCACTGGCCCTCTGTCTTCCTGAGTGGCACATCCCCAGGATGCTGGTCACAAGAGCCCCTCCCTGTACTCTTGGAATCACAGAGGGGTTGGGAAGCTGCAGCCAGGAGCATCTACACAAGCCTGCATGAAAGGGGATTCCAATAGCCTTGCTCACTCTCCGAGTGGGACTTGGGCTAAAGGTCCCTTTCTATCCACAAGTCTCCCTGTCTGAGGATTTCTGCCCTTCTGCTCCTCTGACTGGCAGGGACAGGCCCAAGGAGATAGACTCTGAATGGGACTGAGATCCAGGAGATGGTGTTTTCCAATGAGACTCAGCCCACAACCTCTCCTTACCTGGGCCTGGGCCTCCTTGGCCTCTGAACTCTCCAGGGAGGGCTCCTCTTGGGAGATCCTCAGGTGCCACCTCCTCATTGGATCACCTTTGTGCCTGGTGACTTCCTGCGCCTGGGGTAGATGAGATGCTGATTGGGCCGGGGTGGGAAAGATGGAGAGGGGGCTTGGGCAGGGATGAGGAGTGTGAGGCTATTAGACTGTTAGATTAAAATGTACATTGATGAGATAAAAAGCAAAACTGTGCCTAAAACTGTGGCAAATTTCTTGTTTACTCCAGGGGACCCAGTGACCCCTCAAAGAATGACTGACCTAAGGAGGGAAAGTGGGTTGCCTCATGTATAAACCTGGTTTCCAGGGCCTGGTCCCCACTCCCAGTCCTGGAACCTGAAGCAGAACAGGACAGAGAATACAGGCTGAGCAGGGTCAGTGTTAACCTCTAACTCAATTCCCATTCTTTCCAAAGGCCCATTGGTCTGAAGCTCTGTCTGGTGGGGCCTGGCAACAGAGTTAGGTTTTCTTTTTGACATTCCTTAGTCAAGCTTGTTGCCTCCGAAGTGGATCTCTAAATGAGAGGGAAATTGGGGATTTTATTTCCTCTAAAATCATCTCCACTTCATTCACCAGTATCTGCCCTTGCCCTTGCCCCCCCTCCCCCAACCCATACTCACGGAATCAACTGGCCACCATCCAAACGGCCCTCTACCTCTCCACTGGGGAAACTGACTGCCAGGGATCTCGAGATCTCCTTCCCTATTGGGGCATCTCCTTTTTGCCACTGACCACTGTTCCTGGCATGATCTTGCCTGTGGCCCTGCTACCCTACAGCTCGGCACCTTCAGTACTCCTCACAGCTAACCCATCACCTCCTACCTCCTCACCCCTAGTTCCAGAAACAGAGTTGGAGCCCCTCCCCTTTACATTATATGTTATATAAATACATAATTATACATTAGATAAGTAACCTCCCCACTAACTTCAGACAGACCAATGCCACAGGTATCCTAACAATGTTTCCTGCTTGAGGCCCCCTTCCCTTTCTCCACTAGAATCTTCGGGGAAGCATGAGGCATGAACTCTTGGGAGGGGAACCCAGCCCTCCAGTAGGAAATATGGGCACCTGAGTCCTTGTTCTAAGGGCTCAGGTCCAGGTTCTGCCTGAGTGAAGAGAGGGAGGATCAGGAGACAGGAGTCTAGCCCTCTGCTTCCTACCCAGGGGGCCTCAAAATTTTCCCCGCCTCTCTCCAGCTGGGTCTTTGATTCCCAGGGCTCCTAGCCAAAGCTATTTCAACAGAGGGATTGCTGTCCAGCTAGGGGCAGATCTTGTGCCCCTTCCCTCTAGGCCTGAAACCTGGGTTGTCAGGACCAGAAACAAGAGCACAGTGCAGAGGGCACCCTACCTTTGAGCTGCCTCCCTGGCTTGGAGGCCATTACCTGTCCCTGAAGGGCCAGCCTGAGCCTGGAGCCTAGCCCTCCCTGGCCGGGCTTCGTTGTGTTTGGCTGGTGGCAGGCCTGAGAGTTCTGGAAGTAAACGAAGGAGCTGCCACAGCAGACAGAGTTCTGGTGTGTGTGAGAGGAGAATGAGCCCGGAAGGGAGGTGCCAGGGAAGCCAAGCAGTGGGCTGTGGACACAGGGAGAGCAGTGTAGAAACTGGGTGGCTCGAAACCTAAGGGCCCGAGAGGCAGGGGACGAAGGGGTCACAAGTGGGGCTGGCTCCTACACGTATTTATTTTCTGCACTGTGTGTCCCTCATTTCTTGGAAAGTCTGACAGAACTAGAGCTGCTCCCTGCCTGTGTCCCATCAGAGAGGTTCATGTCATCTTCAACTCTGCTGAAGGCCTGGGCGTCACATTGACTGTTGTGGCTCTGGCTTCCTCTCCCTCCTCAACCTACCCTAGAAGTCTCTTTCACAAAAGAGCCACTCAGACTATATATCCTCCCTCCTATCCCACACAGACTATGGGGATCCAATTAGATTATTGTAGGTGGGAAAAGCCCTTCCATGCTAACCATCTGATCTGTTCAACTGAGTCCCTGGAAAATTATCTCCACCCAGCACCCACCTCCAGTCCCAATCACAACGAGCTGCACACTTGCACAGTACCTTCTTGCGCAAAAGGGTACAAGGCTTCTACCCTTCTCTAGAGTTCACAAACACTCTCCCGGCCATGGTCTCACAGCTCTGAAGGGCTCAAAAGGTAGCCCAGTTTCAATTGCAGATCTGTCACTTAGAGTTAGAGTCCTTGGGCAAGTAACTTAATTCCATGAACCTTGGTTTCCTCATTTGTGGGAAAAAAGAGGGGGGAGGGTAAAAAATATACATATCTCCTAGGGCTAACTGTGAGGATATGAAAGACACTCAACACAGTAGCTGGCACAGAGGTGACACTCAATAAATATTAGCTGTTGTCATTATTGTGTCTCAAACTGTCCCATGAAGCAGGCAGGGAAAGGAATATTACCCCCCCATTTTTACAGATGAGGAAGCTGACACTGGAGAGCTAATTACAGGTCTCTTGCAGTTCTTACTATTCTTTGTACCATTCTTGCTACTTTTCTGGACCCCCAGCTCCACCGACCCCAGTCCTGGCAAGTAGGACTGGGTCTTGGTTTCCTGGTCTTAAAAGTATCTCCTTGGGGACACACAGTGCTGCTAGTTCCTAGGGAGAAACAGCTAAGCATATAGCTTAGGGCAGGGAAAGTGAGAGGCCCATAGGAGAAGAAAGAGGTGAAGCTCCCAGTGCTTTGATGCTATCTCTTGGCCCCTTCCACATCTCTGTGTCCCAGGGACACAAGCAGGAGAATCAGCTTTTCTAGGGCTTGGAACACACAAGCTTGGGAAGCCTCTCAGACTTGGCTCTGACTCCACAACTCGTTCTTCAGATCTGAATACAGATGTGAGGAAGCAGAGTAGGGAAGAGTTAGTCACATATGCTTGGGGGTCAGGCAGACCTGGGTTCCAGTCATGGTTCCACCATTTTCCAGCTGAGTGACTTTGAGCAAGTTATTTAACCTCTCAGAGCTTCAGTTTTCCTATCTGTAAAAGAGGAATAATAAAATCAAATTTACTGGACCTGGGATTCAGGAGAGAGGCTATTAATTCATTCTATCAGTCTTTGATCTGTTCATTCATCCATTAACTAATGAATATTTATTAGGGGTCTACTATGGCCCTGACACTGTGCTGCATGATGGAATAATAATAACAATCCAAATTGTTAACGTTTATCAAGGGCTTATTTTATGCCAGTTATTGTGCTTAGCACCATACACAAATTCTCTTATCTTGCAATGATCATGTGCTCACGAGTCATGCATGAATGGAAGAGAAAATAAAGATCTCAAAGGATGTTAGGATGATAAGATAATAGGCTGGATCAAAGGAAATGAAATAAAACAGGGGAAAAAGTCAAATTATCCATTTGAATGCATGTAATCAACTGTACAAATACAGGATGTGAAAAAATGTGATTTCACAACTTTGGAGGGGAAAGAGATGATGTCATAGGTGGCTGTGAACTCAATGGAGTCAACTGAATATACTGTGGCTGCCTAAATGCGAATATAGTGTGGGCTTCATTAATAGACATGTAATGTAGAAACCCAAGGAAACTGGTTCTGCTCCATTCAGTGATTTTCTGACTTCTTCACCCAAGCCAAAGAGGGAGGGACAGAGAAGGACATGATAGTGAGGAACCTAGAAACAATCTCTTGAGAGATTCAGCTGAAAAAACTAGAGATATATAGATATGAGGAAAAAAAAGAAGAAGTCTTAGAGGGAACATGATCACAGCCTTCAGGTACTGAAGGATTACCATGGGGAAAAGAGAAGTGATTAGTTTGTGTGGCTCCAGAGGACAGATCTACGCACAGAGAGGTAAAGTATAGCCAATTGCTATCATGCATTGTGCAGTTCCTGGTGCCAGGCACCGTGCTAGGTGCTTTCATGCCTACTCATTCCTTGCAACCATCCTGGGAGACAGTGATTATACTATCTTATCCTATACTATCCCCATCTTATACTATATTGTTCCTCAGGCAGATTTCAGATGAATTTAAAGAGGGCTTTTTAAAACTAAAGATGAGGGCCGGCTCCGTGGCTTGGCGGTTAAGTGCGCGCGCTCTGATGCTGGCGGCCCGGGTTCGGATCCCGGGGGTGCCCCGAGGCACCACTTCTCCGTCCAACGCGAGGCCGAGTCCCGCGTACAGCAACTGGAAGGATGTGCAGCTATGACATGCAACTGTCTACTGGGGCTTTGGGGGGAAAAAACTGAATAAATAAAATCTTTAAAACTAAAGATGAAATAGGCAAAATACCAAGTTCTCTATGGTCATGAAGAGGTTGGATAACCACTTGGGAAACTGGAGAATGGATCTGAACATGGTTTAGGGGAGGAGAAAGTGGTATTATAGGAGCGAGAAGTTGACTAGGTAAACACTAAGGTTCCCTCCAATCCTGCACACTGAACATACAGGTAAGAGCTCTAGGGTCAGACTACCTGAATTCAAATTCCAGCTATGCCTCTTACTAGCTGGGCCTTGGGCAAAGTAATCACACCTTTCTTGCCTCAAGTTTCCCCTTATGTCAAACGGGGATAATAGTCCCCATGTCTTAGAGCATAGAGAGTTATATATAATGTACAAAAAAAGTCCTTTGAACAATGCCTAGTCTGTAGTAAGCACTCAATAAACTTTAGCTACAATTATTGACAATGGAGAAGCCAAGGCCTACGGAAATAAAATGTTAAATAATAAGAAAAGAAGTAAATAATGGTATGAGAAGTATACGATAGTTTAACCCAGGCAAATAAGAGAAAGAAGGTAATCAATTGCTCAAGTGACAAATGAGTGCAACAACTGTAAAAGGTGGTAGGAAGGCTTCATGAAGCATGAGGAACTTGAGCTGGATCCTGAACGTTGAATGAAGTTTGGATGGGGGTTGAAGGAAGATATTTTAGGCAGGGGGACTATATAAGCAAATGAATAACAGTGAGCTTACAAAGTGGGGCGAGCACATCCTCCCACTCCTAAAATCATACCATGTTGGTGACTGGTACCACCGACTCTATGAGGGATGGCTTCAGCTGGGAGCTGCCAAGTCACTTAGTTATGGGCATACTGAGGCTTTCTACTTGCCTTCTGAGAGTTGCAGACTTGAAAAACAGAGAAAACAGAGCAGCCACGGCCTCAAGGGTTGAGCACACTGCTGGAGAGTTGGTGAGGAAGGAGAACAATAGTAAAAATTGGTACTAG